GACACAAAGGGCAGGCTGCCTGGTGATGGGCCCAGAGCAGCTGTGGGCTGTCCTGGAGTTAAGGGAGGCTGATTTCAGGAAGTCCAGGGAAAAATAGGATCCATGCCTGGAGGTGCTCTGGAAAAGCCTAGCACTGGGGGCTGGATAGGTGTTCACCCATCCCAACCCCAGCCTCCCTTGCAGTAGGTTTGAGGCCATTTGCCTGGGTTGTGGTGAAGTAGGGAGAAAAGAGCCCGTGGTAGGCAGCGTGATGTCCCCACCCTACAGATGTCCACACTCATGTTCCTGGGCCCTGTGAATGTATTGGGTGTCATGGTAAGGGGCATTAAGGTTGCTATTTCATGGTTTTAAGCTGCCCATAAAATAAGACTATTTTGGATTATCCAGGTGAACCCATTATCATCATCTGGGTGCTGCAATGCAGCAAGGGGAGGAAGAAGAATCAGGGTCAGAGTATGTAATTGAGAAAGACTTGACCAGCCACTGCCAGCTTTGAAGATGGAGGAAGGGGCCACACACCGAGGCATGGGGCAGCCTCTGGAAGCTGGAGAGGTAAGAAAACAGACTCTTCCCTTGAGCTTTCAGAAGGGACCAACCCTGCAGACACCTTGATTTTAGCCTGGTGAGACCATTTGGACTTTTCACCTGTAGAACTGTAAGGTAATAAAGCTGTGGCCGAAGCCGGTTTGGCTCAGTGGATAGAGCGTCGGCCTTCGGAATGAAGGGTCCCAGGTTCGATTCCGGTCAAGGGCATGTACCTGGGTTGTGGGCACATTCCCAGTAGGAGATGTGCAGGAGGCAGCTGATCGATGTTTCTCTCTCATGATGTTTCTAGCTCTCTATTCTCTCTCCCTTCCTCTCTGTAAAAAATCAATAAAATATATATTTTTTAAAAAGATAATAAAGCTGTGTTCTGTTAAGCCTCTGTTTATCATGTTTTGCTACTGCAGCCACAGGAAACTAACACAGTGACACATGCCACTCATAGGCTGAACCATAAGGCATCTTTTACTCCTGTCTGATTAATATAACAAAGAACTGAATTATTTTGAAATCACTACGAAGATCTACAAAAATCACTATTTCTCACTTTACTTTCAATAAATACAATTGTTTTCTACTTCCATTTGACTCAGGTCTAGAAGGGCTGTGAGGCCTACTTTTCATAACCTTATATGAACTATTAATGTTCAACACTAGTAGATATTAGGTTTATGAGAACTGTATTGACATATGGCTTTGACTCCCCTGGCAAATGGAGAGGACCGGGGCCAGCAAAATGTATTTAATGAAGAGATGTTAGCCACATCACTGCCATCAACTCATAAATCTCACACCCTGGGAAGAGACACAGGGTGTGTGATGGAGCTCCTTGTGCAAAGGGCTGCTGAGATTCCAAGAGGCAAAGGACCTACAGGCTGGTCCCCCTGAACTCACTAGCTTTGAAAGGAGACACTCCAAATGGTTTGGCCAGTTCTTAAAATAGAGTTGTCCTCTTTATCCCAACTGTAAGGTAACTGTCAGTTAATGAGTGAATAAGAGGCAAGGGCTTTAAACAGTGCCAGTGAAGGCCAGCAGAATGCACCACCACGAAATATGCCTCTTTGGCAGAAGGGCTGTTTTGAGCTGATTAAAACCAGCAGAGAAGGAAAACCTCAGAAAACCGAGAAGCTATCCTTTCATAAGGGACGTTTACATTAGTAATGGAAATTTCCCTGTGTATCTCCCTCTCTACTAGAAAGGGAAGCAGGATTACATCACAAGAGAACCTGAAATCTGTATAACAACCTTACCCTGGTTTACCTGGCTTTTTCTGGAAACCTCCCATAACTGGCTCCCTACTCCCCAATGTTTTTTTTTTTGTGAGTGTGTGTTGTTAATTCTCACCCAAGGATATTTTTCCATTGATTTTTAGAGAGAGTAGAAGGGACGGGGAGAGACAGAGAGAGAAACATCGATGTGAGACACATCGATTGGTTGCCTCCGGCATACACTCTGACCAGGGCGGGGGATTGAGCCTGCAACTGAGGTATGTGCCCTTGACCGGGATCAAACCCAGGACCCTTCAGTTCACAAGCTGATGCTCTATCCACTGAGCAAAACTGGCTAGGGCCCCAAGGTTTTTCTTTTGTCTTTAGTTGAAGTTGGTATTTACGGTGGTGGCTTGGGCCATTTCAGGGAATTACTCAGTTTTCTTGTGTCTCTCCCATGTGTAGAGGAGGTATTCCTGTTAATAAACTTCGGTTTGTTTTTCTCTTATTAATCTGTCTTTATCACAGGAGGTGGGGAGAGGTGTCTCGGCCAGGAACCTAGAAGGGTAGAGGGAAAATTATTTACCCTTCCCTATACCAGGCACATTAACACTCAGCAAATGTTGTTACTACTTGCAGTTTAGATGCTATCTAAACTGGATGAGAGTCACACCTGCATCCCTATTGCACACTGGAGACAGCGCAGAGATAGAGAACACTGCAGGCCCCGCATGCTCTGGGGAAGTGAGAGGTGCTACGAAGCTCTGAAGAAACTCACTCAGAAGCTACTTATTGTGTATTTTTGTACCAGGCACTGTGCGAGCTCCTGGGGATGAAGCTATCACCATGACCCAATCCTGGAAGCAAGAAGAGAGGCAGACAGGTGGAGGTAAAGGTGACAAGGAAAACAGCTAATTTTGTGAGAATGCACTGGATACCGGTTCAGACAGCAACAATGAGAAAACACAGAAGAACATGAAGATAGTCATGAAAGATAATTTTATTGTTTCCGATTGAGGATTTAAGCACAAGTCTGTGTTATCCAATTTAAGCACTTAATGAAAGTGTACCCAAAATTTTCAAGGCTGTTATTTTTGATGTATGAACTGTGCTCTTGGCTATACTTGATAATTATCTTTATTATAGTGAGTTGCCTTTATATTTGTTTGTTTTTAACATCAGGTCTGCAGTATGTCCTATTCTCTGGCCATGCCAGAGTAAATAAGAATATTCAAATACCCCTAGCTTTTTGCTAAAAAGAGCTTTCCCACAGGAAAGTGGATCTGAGGCAAAATACTGCACATGACAAAAAGTCCCCTTCTAACCTGTACCTCTGGACCAAGATGCCAGGTTCTACCTCTAACTCTGGGCAAATATGACTGGCCTTGGAAAATGGGGAATGCCAGTGACAGTTCATTAAGCAGTTCCTGTGAGATTGAGACCCCAAAGGCTACAGGCTCTTCCCTGAAGTCACTTGAAGAGGTTGTCTGTGGGATTAACTGCCCTTGAACTTCGATTCTGATGAATGGAAGGGGGAGCTCCAGTGAGAGTTACAGTGGCAAAGGCAGTTCTGCTCTACGATGACACCCCCAAACCTCCCATTTCATAGATTAGGAAAACTGAGCCCTAGAGAAGCGATGGGTCTCAAAACTTAGAACCCAAGTTCATGGCTACACCGGCATAAGTAAGTTGGCTCCTCTCCCCTTTAGCATAAATAAGCTATTTAATTTTAATTCACAAGGCCTAGCTGTTCAGAATTCGAAGAAAACCCGTCTTTCATGGAATTTCTCCAGGGAGTTAATATGCACAGTTCACGTCTGCGATCTTAAAAATCTCCACGTGGAAATGCCTCTATGTGCAACTTAGTTACTACTACCTTGATTTGGTCTCATCCCAACTTACTGGCTTTACTGCCACTCCTTACCCTGGGACAGGGGAGTGTAAAGAAAGGCGTTCCCGCCGGCAGTGCTGCCAGGTCATCAGCAGCCAGCAGATGGGCACGGACCCACTGAGGCAGACACTAAAGGTCAGGCTATCTTTACAGGAAATCTCTTTGAGGTACTTTTTATTTTATTTTTTTAAACAAATGGAACACAAAGGCCCCAAAGCCCATTTCCCACTGCAGCGGGACTACTTTCTAAAACCCCAAGCCCGTTAAGTCGCAGGTATCGGTTAGCCGTATTCCTGCCCTAGTCCAGGCAGTTTTTGGTGGTTGTTGAGAGCTGCTTTCAGCAGTTCAAATATTAG